CGGAGACGGAGCGGCTGCGGGACGTCGATGGATGCACGCATGCGCGCGCGTGTGCGTGTGTGTGTGTGTGTGTGTGTGTGTGTGTGTGTGCATGTGCGTGCGTGCGTGCGTGCGTGTGCGTGTATGTACGCGCGCGTTTGCGCGCGCGTGCGTATTCCTGTTTGCACGGTTATTCTTCTCTTCTCATTTCATGCAGCCCGCGCGCCTCTAGTGCGCCGGGCGCCCTGAGAGGGGGGCGCGTTTTCTTTTTGTGGCGGGGATCGACTTGGCGCACGCACCTCCCTGAGCGTTTTTGTAGTCAGAAGAAAAATTGCGTACGTGCGCGCGTGTATGTGTATATATATATATATATATATATAACAGGGTGCGTGGCGTGGCGCGCGTGAGTGGCTGGGCCCTGTGATCAGACGCGGACGACGGCTGCGATGTGGGTCCTGCGTGCGTCACGAGCCACTGAAGACGGCGCGCCCCAGGTGCGAGTCGGGCAATCCGGCGGACCGACGCGATAGCAACTGGTTGAAAATGGCGTTGGTGGGGTGCGCGTCTAGCGCGGCGGTCTGGCAAACGTTTTTGGCCCGGCTAGCCGGCGGCGTGCTTCTTTTGTGCCTGGCGGTTCGAGGAAGGCCGCGTTCTCCCCCCTCCTTTGGTTCGAGAACTTCCAAAAGTGACGAGCTTCGCGGCGCGCGCGGGGCGCCGCCATCCGCGAACGCCGCGGTCTCTGGTTTCCACGACATGCGCGGAGTCAGCGCGACCGCATTTCTTTTGTCACTCGGTGGCGGGCTTGCTCTGCCACGCCACCCTGAGGAGCTCGGTCGCTGGGCCAAGACTGCCGGGCCGGCCCCGGCCCGCTTGCGCGCGTTGGGCGGCGCCGAGACCTCGGGCGCCATACTTGCGCCCCCTCGCGTTGCGGGCGAGTCGTTTCGCGCGAAAGTGCAGTGGAGCGATCTGGCCTGCGCGTTGGAGATTCCGCGGCTGGCGCGATGCTCTTGGCGGGCGGGGAGCGCTGCGCGCTCGCCGGCCACTGCGGCTCTGCGCCGGGCGTTTGCTACAACCAGGGCGATCTGGTTCAAAGTCATGGGTCGAGGGCCCACAGTCGGCGAGCGCGGTGGGCGCGTGCTCCCAGGATGCGCAGGAGAACGCGCATGCTGGGGCCACAGCTGCCTCGCGCAAGCCCGCGCCAGGGTGTTCGGTCGGCGCGTTCTGGCGCCGCTGTGGCCCGGTCACCTCGAGGGCCCAATGCGGGGCCGCTTTCGAGCACAATGCCACCCTGCTCGCCGGCAGCGCAAAGGCAGTCGACTGGCTCGCCCCATCGCGTGGGAGGCGCAAGCATGGCTCGACTTGCTTGACAAGGGCGAGGACGGAAACCGCCTGGCACTTTATCTGGCGGCGTCCACCCCGGCGCCAGACCTTCCCGCGCCCCGCCGCGCTGGCGGGGGCTGGTTCGCCGTCCTCGTTCGATTCTTGCTGGCGGTTTCTTTGGGGCGCCTCATTGGCGCGCTCGCGCGCGGCGCGGGCCGCTGCCTCGCGGCGCTCCGCCAATGCACCCAGGCGGGCACGCAGCGCGCGCGCGACGAGGGCGGCGGCCGGGGACCAGCAGGGCCGCGAGTTGGCGGAGCAGCTTGCAGCATAGGCATAGGAGGACACATTGCAGCATTGATGAAGGCCGCGCCAACAAGGAAACACACAAACAACAATGGCCAGTTTTCGTCCAAGCCCTGCTCGCGGCACCCCTCGGCCTTGCTGGCTTGGTCGGCCAGGGCAGCGCTCGCTCTGGCGCCTGTGCCCCCTCTTCTCTGCCTGGCCTTCTATAGCCGCGCCCCCGGCGCCAGCTGCCGGCGTCTGGGCCTGGCGCTCCTTCGGCGCGTCCGGCCGCCCGCCCGGCAACGGCTGCCGGCGTCTGGCCGTGGTCGCCTCCTCGTAACTTCGCAGCGTGCGGGTGCTCAGATAGCTCCGCCCCTGGTGCGTCCGCTCGCGTTGGTTTGCCGCCCGTCACTGGGCGCGGCCCGCCTGCCTGCCGCGGGCGGCGCCCCAGGTCGCGCGCGAGCGCGCCCATATGTAGGAGCCGCGCAGCGCGGAGGCCGCGGGCCGTGCGACGTCCTCGAGGACCGCGGCCCGGAGCCCAAACGGGCGCGGATGATGGCGGCGCCGACGGGGCGCCGGGAGAGAAGGGGACCACGGGCCGCCGGAGGGGGAGCAAACCTTCAACGTGGGCGCGGAAGCCAAAGTGCACCACCCTGGAAGACACATCTAAACATCTGTTTTGGTTGCTCATTTCCCCAGCGGCAGCTGCGTTCGGAAGGGCCGCACGGTATCTAAACTTCCTCCCTGGATCAGATGTGTGTTTACAGCGCCTTCGTACAGACAATCAGATACGAATAGAAATGTTTCAACATAGATGCGTTTAGAGACGATGTCTCACTTCTTTAAATGCGGAAGGTAGGTTTTCTTCCAAATATTAGATACGGGCCATCTCTATATACGAGTATATATGTTCAGATATGCTTAGATACGGTTCAAGATGGCGCCCACCGCTGGAAAACATGTATACCAAACATACTTGAGCAGGCCGAAAGATGTTCCTCTTGAGGCCCACATGACAAATGCGAAGTGTCTTCGACTTTTGCGGATGCGGACGCAGCGAACATATCGCGCTCGCGTCGAGGTGGGGTGCGGCATATGTTATGGGAGGTTGCGCGAGTTGGCCAGGCCCGCTGTGGCGCTCGAGCATCCACATGTTATGGAGGGTGCGGGAGTTGGCCGGGGCAGCTGTGGCGCTCGAGCAACGACATGTTATGGGAGGGGTTCGGAGAGGTGGCCAGGCCCGCTGTGGCGCTCGAGCTCCCGACTTGGGCACCGCGGTCGTTTTCTCTCCAATTCCCTCCTCCCTCATCCGCCTCTGCCGTCCTCCCTTCTCGTCCGCCTCCCTCCTGGGTAGGGACACCCCTCCCCCCGTAGAATCATAGCTTGGGCTGCAGGTCCAAGGCTCCGTGGATCCATTTCACCTTGGGTCCCTTGTATTAATTATTATTATAAGTTGATTCCAGGAAAAGAAATGGATCCACGAAGCTTCCACGCCAAGAAATTGGATCCAGAAGACACGGAAATTGGATCCACGTGATTCTCGCACACACGTGATTGGATCCATGCGTTCCCATGCAAAAGACAAAAACAATCGGCCTGGGGATGAAGAGTGTTGCACCCCTTCTGCCCTTCAGCACGCTGCACGTGATGGCGGGGGAGACGGGGGTCAACACCCCACTGAAGAGTTTTGCGCCCCTTCTGCCCTTCAGCACGTTGCGCGTGTTGGCGGGGGAGATGGGGGTCAAAACCCCTGTAGATACGAATAGATACGGCGCCATGTCTCCTGCGCACGCCCACGATCGATCATTCTCGCTCCTCGCTCCTCTCGGATCCTCCTCATCCGCCCTCCTCGGTGCTCATCATCTCTTCTCTTCTTTCGCCGCATACTGAGTGGGGTTTTCGTTCCCCGCATCCTGAGTGGGGTTCTTGTAATCCTACAACAGCCTCTCCTATTCCTTCTCCCCCTTCTCCTTTTCCCGCCTCCCTAGTGTGCCATGCCAATGCGTACCATACCAATACCACGCCAACCTACCAGACCATACCTGCCACACCACACCTGCCATACCATACCCACCATACCATACCAAATCTACTATACCATACCATACTTACCATATCATGCCATACTATGCCATCCCTACCAAGCCTACTATACCATACCTCTCCTCCTCCTCCCCCTCCTCCTCGACTTCTCCTCCTCCTCCTCCTCCTCCTCCTCCTCCTCATCCTCGTCCTCCTCCTCCTCCTCCTCCTCCTCTTTGCTCTCCCATCCTACGGTTCCCTGTTCCTACCCAGTTCTCTCCTAAATTTCGTTTCGTCGTTGATATCCATTGTACTCCTCGTCGTTCTGACGTCGTCGCTCGCCTCCTCACTCCTCATCGCTACGGCATCCCACTATCCTCATCCCGTTGATCATTGCTTCGACCAATATCATGGATCTTGTTCGTGCCGGGAGCACAGCCAACTGCATTCGTTCTGACAGAAATTAGATACGAATAGATACGGCGCGGCACTGCCATTTTTTGAAAAATAGATGCGAATAGATATGCTTACTGGAAGAAAAATAGATACGGTCCCAAATGTTTAGATATGCTTGAACAATACATACGTTTAGATACGGCGGCGCTCCCGCGCAGGCCGGGGGCGCGCATCTAAAAGCAGTGTATGTATAAATATTGTCGTCGCTGCAGAAACATCGATACGGTGGGCTTCTCGCCTGCGCAAGGGCGCGATCGCATCTAAGCGCGTCTATTATTTTTAGATGCGTCTTGCGGGGCACTTGCCCCGGCCCGGAAAAGAAACCAGACGACCGGGGGAGGGCCCAGCGCGGAAGCAAAACTTCAGCATCGCCTTCTTCCTCGCCGGCCCCCCCGACGACGGCCGGGGGCGACGGGCGGGGGGGGGGGCGCGGGCGGGGGGCGCCTTCGATCGGAGAGAGGCCCCGGGGCCAGAAGACCACCGGGGCCGAATTGTCCGAGGCAGCCGCAGCTCGAGGCCAGGGCACTTCAGGGCTTGGCGCCGCAGAAGCGGCAGCGCGCAAGAGCCCGGGGCCGCAGGGCCTCGAGCGGGGGGGCGATGAGGGCGCGTTGATCTGCGACGCTCTGCGCTGCGATGCTCTGCGCTGCTGGTCCTTGTGCTGCCTCTCGCTGCTCGTCGCTGCGCTTCGTTGCGTCGTCGACGCACGCAGAGCGCGCGAGCGCTACCCGCGCGCCGCGGCTGCTGCCGCGGAGCTCGATCGAGGCGGCGCGGCGCGGCCGTCGCGCCCCGGGGCTCGGGCTGGCCTCGCGCCCTGGCGGGAGCTATCATGGCGCCGCGTCGCCTCCCGCGCCCGCGTGGCCAGAACCGCTCGGAGGCGATGGCGCCGAGGCGGGGCGCGGCGACGGGTGCCCCAGCGCCGCCCGACGCCTGCGGGCCCGCAGCTCTGTTCGCGAAGAGGGCGCAAGCGGCTGCCGCGGAGCACGCTTGTGCAGAGCGCGCAGGAGACAGCGGCGTCGTTGGCGGGCTCTCTGGGCTGGCGGCAGGACGTCGCTCGCTCGCCATGGCGTCGGGTCGCGCTGGCGCATCGCAGGCGTCCGCGAGCAACGTGGAGCTGGCGCCCCTCGCGCGACTGGGTGCCGAGCGCGCGGATTGCTCGCGCGACCGGGCCGTCGGCGCGCGCGCGGGCGCACTGCCGCCGCCGCCCCGCGCCACTGAGACGTCGCCCTCTCGAGGGCGAGGGCGCTGCTGCCCGATTGCGTGGGCGAGCGCGCTGCTGCCCCATCGCGCCGCGCAGGCCTGAGCCCGTCGCGGAGACGTCGCGCTCGGCCAGCCCGGCGCCGCTGCAGAGCGCGCCGGCCGCGGCCATTTCCTACTCGGCCTGCCCGGCGCCGCAGAGCTCGAAGATCGCGTTTTCGCGGGCGGGGGCGCGATCGCACATGCGCGCTTACTCGCGCCCGGCATCGCGCCCGCAGACGAGCGAGGAGTGGTGGGGCGGGGCCGTCGCGCTCGACCGCTTTCTGGATGCGGCTGTTTCGATGATTGTTTGGACCGCGCCAGGGGCGCTGCCCGCCGCTCGCGCCAGCGGCGCGCGTGGGTGGCGAACGCGCAGTCGTCTCAGCAGGCGGGGTGTCATTGGTTCGCCGCGGCCCCCCGGGGTGGCGCGCGCGAGCGTTGCCGCGCGCGCTGCAGAGCTGCGCGGCGAAGACGACGCCGCGCATCTCCCGGCGCTCTTCCCAGGGCCGCCCGAGTCGCTTCGCGCTGCTCTCGCGAGCGCGGCGCGAGCTCAAGCAGATGCAAGCGCCTTCGACGCGCGGCGCGCTTGCCAGGGGCGGCTCGCGCCGGCGCAGCAGCGGCGCTGGCCGCTGCAGCGGCGGCCGCCGCCCAGGGCCCCGGCGCCGGCGCGCTCGTCGCGGGGCGGCCGCCCCGCCCGCGGCAGCGGTTGCTTCCCGCGGCCGCGGACTCAGCCGATGAGAAGCTCCTCCGCGAGCAGCGCGATGAGCAACGCTCCGCGGCGGCATCGCGGGCGCTCCGTCCGAATCCAGGCGGGCCGCTTCGCGCTGCCCTCGCGCGCGCGCGCCGCGCGCCGCCCCAGACTTGCGCCGCGCCCGCGCGGCGCGGGGCGCAGCGATGGCCGACGGCGCCGTCGGCGAGCGGCGAGCGGGCCAAGCTCAGAACATCTCGCGGGGAACACAGCCCAGCGCCCATTCGACTCCCGACAGAGGGCGAAGCTGTGGGCCTTGCGCGAGCGCGGGAGGCATCGGCTGCAGGAGTCATGGCCGCGGGTAATTCAGCGGTGCAGCAATGCAACTTGAGGCAGAGAAGCGCTGTGCCAAGCAATGCATCGCACAGGAACGCGACGCAGCGCTTAGCAAAGCAACGCAAACCAATCCGACCCCAAACAACCAGAACGCAAAGCAATACAGAGCAAAGCAAGGCAAGGTCACGCATTGCAGAGCAATGCAAACCAATAAGAGGCAATGCGACGCAAATAAAGACAGAGTAACGCACAACAATGCCAGAGCATACAAGGCAATGCGCAGCAAAGCAAAACAACGCAGAGAAACGCAAAGCAACACCACACAAAGCGACGCAACACAACACAAAGCAAGGCAAATCACCGCAATGCAAATCAAGGCCAAGGAAGGCAAGGCAGGGCAAGGCAACGCGATGCAAAGCCACGCAAAGCAAAGCAAACAGTGCAAAGCATGGCGAAGCCATGCGATGCATACTAAAGCAAAACAACGCACTGCGAACCAATGCGAAACAAAAGAACACATACCATGCAAAGTAGCGCGTAGCAGCGCAAAGCAAGGCAAACCAGTACAAAACAATGCAGAGTAATGCGAAGCAGTGCGAAACAAGCGCCAGCTCGGGCAAGCAAACAATGCATCGGCGGCGACGAGCGGCGACGGCTTCGACGGAGCGGCGACGGCGAAAACACAACCGCCAGATCGGCGCAGAGGGCCGGACAGTTGACGGCGACGACGCGGCGACGAGGCACCGACGGCGACAACATAGCCGCCAGACCGGCACGTCGGCCCAAACGACGGGCGGTGACGAGGCGGCGACCAGGCGGCGACGGCGACAACATAGCCGCCAGACCAGCCCGCAGGCCCAGTTCCTTAAACAAGTAATTAAAACACCTTTTTGGAGGAGTTTGGGGAAGATGTTTCCCAACATGGAAACACGCAGGGTATACCAACGTGTGAACTCCTGCGTGTGAGGAGCAAATGCGCGGGAAGGGTGGGTGAACGGTGGGACGCTGTCAAGAGATAGGGGGGAGCATTACTCATGTTGAGTGGTTGTACAAAGCAAGAGGACAGAGGCAAACTACTTGCGCTCGCTCCGCATCTGACAGCATACGCCTTCCTTCCGCCCCTTCCCATTGCGTTGGATCCTTTTCCACCAGCCGGCTGGGGGGTCCAACGAGACCTTGATCCACGAATGTCGTTTTCAGGATTTGACCCATTGTTGGCTGCAGAGCCAGCATGTGTTGGACGGGGGATGGAGGAGGGAGCGCCGGATTAGGAAACGTATGAAGAGGAGGAGGAGGAGGAGGAGGAGGAGGAGGAGGAAGAGGAGAACGAGGAGGAGGAGGAGGATCTTTAGGAGCAGGGGGGCGGAGGGGACATCGTTCCATCTCCTTCTCTTACCCCTTTGGGCCGCAGGTGCGTATACTGCCCCGGAAGTCATCATCATGCTTAACATACGTTTCATATAGTTCATTTAGTCGTTACTCCCCCCGCTACTAGGGGTGTATGGCTGCGTCCGAATCGGATTCCGCAGCCGACAGCGACAGCGACAGGGACAGGAGGAGGAGGAGGAGGAGGAGGAGGAGGAGCAGGCGGAGGAGGAAGAGGAAAAGGAAGCACAGGGTCAGGAAGAGGAGACGCAGGATCAGGAGGAGGAGGAGGAGGAGGAGGAGGAGGAGGAGGAGGAGGATGCGATCTGCTTGTGGCTTGCGCTTTGCGGGGCGAGCCCGCGGACTCCTTCCAGTTCTTCTGGTCCTCGGTGGTCTTCTCCTTCGGCCACCTTTTCCGCCTGGCCTGGTACCAGAACGCGATGCTCTTCGCGATCGTGGCAGGCCGCGCGCGGGAGCAGTGCGGGACACGGGCGTTGCACTTTTGTTCACGCTCGGCGTTTGGGCCTGGTTTCGGGCCCCCGGACGATCATATATCGGTTCCGGCTCGAAAGACTCAGCATAAAGATGGGGTCCAGGGTTCCGGTCGAGGGTTGTTCGCGATGCTGCGCTTTGTTCGCAGCGTTGGATCTCAGGGCACCCTGGGCGGCCAGGCAGGTCTGTCGCCGCCAGCGGCGCCGCAGATCAGAAGTGGCCCTTGCGACAGGATCGGGAGGGTGCGTGTTCTCGAGGTTCGAGGCTCGAGAGCCGCGGACGTTCTCGCAGCATCCTGGGGGCTCCTCTTCCTCCTCCACCTCCTCCTCCTCCTCCTCCTCCTCCTCCTCCTCCCCCTCCCCGTCCCCGTCCCCCTCCTCCTCCTCCTTCTTCTCCTTCTCCTCCTCCTCCTCCTCCTCCTCCTCCTCCTCCTCCTCCTCCTCCTCCTCCTCCTCCTCCTCCCCCTCCCCCTCCTCCCTCCTCCGCATCGCGAAGGTTCTCCCCTCCTCCGCGCGGATTCCTTGGACCTGCGCTGGGACCCTTGGCGGCGCCTCCAGCACCGACCACCTGGCGCGCGGAGCGCGCCAGGGAGGAGGGCGCAGCGCGTATCCAAGGAGTTCGCGCGGAGCTCCGAGAGTTTATGTTCATGCGGTTGTTTCTCGCTGCAGTCCAGGCTCGGGCCCCAGACATGCTCGCGTCGTAAGAAAAAAATCAGGGCGGGAGGTTTTGGGAAATTTTCGGCGGGCCCTCGCCGGGCCTCGGAACCGTCAAAAAACGATTTAGGATGAAAAGCCCGTCCTGGGGAATGGGTCCAGACTTTTGGGGGTCGCGTTATGAAAACATCATGACGTCGGGGGTCTGGGATCCAGACATGCGACGTCCTGTTTTTTTCAGGACGGCGTCCCTGGAAGTCTTGACCCATTCCCCAGGACCGGTTTTTCGTCCTGAGTCGTTTTTTGACGGTCCCGAGGCCCGGCGAGGGCCCCCCGGGGCCGCAAATTGCCGAAAACTTCCCGTCCTGACTTTTTCACGACGCGATCATGTCTGGGGATCCAGGCTCGGGCTACGTTCCACATGCTCCGTCTCGCCGAGAGCGTGCCCGGGTGTGCCCAGTCCGTCCCGCGCGGCCGCCGGCAGCCGCGTCAAGGCCGGAGAGAGCCCAGCCGAGGGTGGGGGCCATCTCGATGTCGGTCGATCTCGGTGCCGGTCTCTGGTCGGCTGGGTCCGAGTGGTTTTAAGTTCGGGGGCGGCAACGAGCCCAGACCCCCTGGAGTAGTGACAAAAATCATGACGGGATGTTTTTCCTAATTTTCGGCCTCCGGGGGCCCTCACCGGGCCTCGACTCGGGAGCGTCAAAAAATGACTCGGGATGAAAAACCGGTCATGGGGAAAGGGTCTGGACCTCTGGGGGTCGTGTCATGAAAAATCATGACGTCGGGGGTCTGGGAGGGGGGGGGAGGACTACGGGGGGTGGATATTATCATGGCGGGGGCCATGATTTTTTATCAGATTTCAGGGCGCCCTTTCTCATTTCATCACGTCCCTGGCCCCCCGCTGGGCCGCGCACATGCCGCCGGTCATGATTTGCACACACCCCTCGTGGACACCCCCCTCTTGGCCGCTCCCGAGTTTTATGTAGTCGATGATCCTCAGGACGCGTATCAGCCCAAGCGTGTGTTTACCCCGTTCGACTCCGCCGATGGCGCGCAGCCTGTCTCGTCCCTGGCTTCGCCGCCGACAAGCACACGTTGGCGCTGACACACGTGCTGAGGATCACCGGCTGAGGTGCTGCGACGATCTGGGGTGGCCCGATGTCTGCGTGGCGCTGGTTTCCATCCTGGTGCAGCGCGCTCGATTCGGTTTGGGACTCTGTGCTAATGCAGGCCGATCCGAGGCACATTCCTATTTGATCTGGCCTCCCGATTCGGTACCTCCCCCTGAGGCTCCTCAGATATAAGGACAGCTCCTGCGAGCGCCCAGGGAGCGTTCAGGACGTTCTCTGGAGTGGAGGAGAGGGCGCTTGTAGAATGGAGGGGCACACTCCAGATCCGGGAGGATGGGGGAAGATTAGGAGGGGCAAATATTAATCAGGGGGGAGGAGGAGGAGGAGGAGGAGGAGGAGTGAGGAGAGGAGGAGGAGGTGGGAGGGAGGTGGCCGTGGCCACGAGGCCCTCCCGAGGGCCCCCGTGGCCGAGGCCGGAGACGCAGGTCGCAGGGCCTCTCTGGAAGGTGTCCGCCAGGGCTCCTGGGGGGGCGATTTGGACCAAGGCGGCCAGCTGGGCCCAGATCTCCTCCCCCT